TGTGAATGTCCTCACCTGTTGTGTGAATGTAGTGTGAATGTCCTCACCTGTTGTGTACGGCTGGCTGTTGTTCTGTCCACAGTTCTTCATCTTGACCGGAGACAGACACAGTGGTTTCACCACCTTGTGGGTTCCCTCGCACCAATAGGAGGTGCAGAATGCTGAGATGGACAATGTTAGAGCCAGTGAGGTCAGAGACAACGACAGCAGGGACCGGTTTTGTCTGGACATCTTCTCCAGCATGGCTGCAGGTGAAGGACGGCGCCACAGAGGAGGATCCTGGTTCAGAAGTGTTTCCTGGAGTCTGAGGAGCGACCAGAAGACAAACAGGAAGGAGGGCCAATCAACAGGAGGCTCAGTTAAGCAAAGAGCAAAGAGTAGTCGGGAGGAAGAGTGGGGATGATTTGGTGAAAACGAGGAAGAGAAGAAGGGGAGAGGGAGAGAGAGAGAGAGAGAGATTAAAGATGTTTATAAAGGTCAGAGGGCAGGAGGAGGAGGTGGAGCTTAGGATGGGGGGTCAGAGGTCAGATGAAAAGATTTAATCTCAGTGAGACAGATGTGACCATCATCATTCCACACTACACCACCTGGTACCGCTGCACCTGGTACCACTGCAGCAGTTGTCATCTCAGAGAAGTGGGAATCTGCTGCTCCTCCAAATTGCTCCTCCTCCCCTGCTGGACGAGGAAGGAGGTTTCCAGAACCTTCCTCCTGGTCAGTGGCCTTTAAACCTTCCAGGTCAACTGGACGTTTCACCTCTGATCCAAGAGCACCCACTGGTGGTGGGGAGTACAGCAAATATGTACTCTGGGTGTGACAAAGAATAAAGCTACTACAGCTCCCCCTGTTGGTGGGGCCTTGGCGTCAACTGTGAAAGTGTTGTGGTCCTGATCAGAACGGTTTCGGTCACCTGCCTCTTTGATGTGCGAAACTGAGGTGAGTCTTTTGGGTTTGAGGTATGTGGGTGATACCTCCTCTGTTGACTGATGGTTTTTCCAGGTTGACAAAAATGGCTTCTTTTACCGCTCTCTCAAACCACCTGTCCTCCCTGGCCAAAATGTGGACATTGTTGTCCTCAAAGGAGTGGGTTTTGTCCTTGAGGTGAATGTGAACAGCTGAGTCCTGTCCTGAGGAGTCGGTCCTCCTGGTTGTTTGGTCTCGGTACACTCCTCACTGCACTGAACAGTCAATGGACAACTTTGTTGCAAGAAACAAGTTGGAAGAACTGTTCAACCTCAACAACAATCATAAGGATAACCATGGTTACTGCCTGAGTAACAGTACTACTGCAGTGATACTAGTACTAATGTAGTATTACTCTGTCTCACTAGTACTACTGTAGTATTACTCTGTCTTACTAGTACTACTGTGGTATTACTCTGTCTTACTAGTACTACTGTGGTATTACTCTGTCTTACTAGTACTACTGTGGTATTACTCTGTCTTACTAGTACTAGTACAGAACACATGGACAGAGACTGAGGTTCTCTCTGGGGCAGTGGTCATTAAGGAAGTGGACTTGGGTCTGGAAGGTTTCAGGTTCAAGTCCACCAGCTGCCAAGTTACCACTCTGAGGATGGCGCCGTCCCCACACACTGCTGCCCCCTGCTGACTGTGGTGATGGGTGAGCCTCGAAGTGATGTTTCAGGTTTTTGTTGGACACAGGATTTCAACTATTGACAGATGTTTCCAGGCTATTCCAGATGATTCCAGGTTACTCCAGGTGTTTCCTGTTTCCAGGCTATTCCAGATG